GAGACTGACTCTCAGAGACATGAGACTGACTCTTAGATAAATGAACTGACTCTCAGAGACTTGGGACTGACTCTCAGAAACGTGAACTGACTCTCAGAGATGTGAGACTCACTCTAGGAGACATGATACTGAATCTCAGAGACGAGACTGACTCTCAGATATGTGAGACTCAATCTCAGAGACGTGAGACTGACTCTCAGAGACGTGAGACTGGCCCTCAGAGATGTGAGAATGACCCTCAGAGATGTGAGACTGACTCTCAGAGATGTGAGACTGACTCTCAGAGACTTGAGACTGACTCTTAGATAAGTGAACTGACTCTCAGAGACTTGAGACTGACTCTCAGAAACGTGATCTGACTCTTAGAGACGTGAGACTCACTCTATGAGACATCATACTGACTCTCAGAGACGTGAGACTGACTCTCAGAGATGTGAGACTGACTCTCAGAGACGTGAGCACTGACTCTCAGAAACGTGAGCACTGACTCTCGGAGACGTGAGACTCACCCTCAGAGGTGCAGGGTTTTTGCCATTCCAAATTTCTGAACATTGAAATGTTTTTAAGATTATTTATTACAAACCAACAAAAATCACAGGAAATTATTATAATTAAAATGTTCGTATAAAATTGTCAGTCGAAATTTGGCTTCAAAATCCGACGTTCTACAAATGGTATAACATTTCGAAGGGCGCTAGCCCAAAGCGCGACTCGATCTGTATGGTGAAGATGTTGAAGATGGTGACGATGTTGAAGATCATGGTTGAACACGTCTTTAAAACTTTCCCAGGACCTAGAGAAATAAAAACCCGGGAACGAAACGTTTTTCTCCACGTGGAAAGTTGGGGAGGAAATGCCAAATCTCACAGTGTCCAATGACATGCGCTAACATGATAGGAAGCGGAAACTGCGAAGAAATCTCACAAAGTGATGATAAAAAGATTTCACAAAAGGCCAGGATAATTTCAATCTGGATGGAGGATTTGGATAAACAAATCTCTTTTTCCCAGAAACCTGCCCCGGTCTGAAATGTCAAGTTTTTATTTGACTGAATCTGGTGTATGGAGTTGCCTCATAGGCAAGTCTTGTAGGGGAACTTGTAGGGGAACTTGTAAGGGAACTGGCGAATCCGTTATGTTCTTTATTTCTGTGGTCTCTTGCTTATAGGATTAAACTGTGATTTGACTTAAAGAAAACAATGTAAAGATTAGAATAGATTAGCTGTTTAACCAGTGGCGACCAACTCTCAACCTTAGCCATAGATTAGCTTTTTAACCAGTGGCGACCAACTCTCAATCTTAGCCATAGATTAGCTGTTTAACCAGTGCTCACCAACACTCAATCTTAGCCATAGACTCGTTTTTTAACCAGTGCTCACCAACTCCCGTTGCTTTGCTGTTTGTGCTTCCCATTGTGGACGATAATGCCAACAGAAAAATAACTCCTTGAGTTACAACATATTTGGGATGGCTGATCTTCTGTACAATGTGTAGGACCGACAGAGTTCGATCTCACTGCCGATGGTGGTATCGTTTGCACAACCGACAGAGTTCGATCTCACTGACAATGTTGGTATCGTTTGCACGACCGACAGAGTTCTATCTTACAGCCGATGGTGGTATCGTTTGCACGACCGAAAGAGTTCGATCTCACTGACAATGTTGGTATCGTTTGCACGACCGACTGAGTTCAATCTCACTGCCGATGGTGGTATCATTTGTACAACCGACAGAGTTCGATCTCACTGCCGATATTAGTATCGTGTTTCAACGACCTTCAGAATTCGGTCTCACCGCCGCTGTTGCCATCATGCACTTAGCGTGCAGGTTCTCATCTGCAGCTGTTTATCAACAGGTTCAAACATCCTCAGCACTTTGTCTGGTTTACAAACATTGACGGCGCTGTGTACGCCTGAAAGAGACGGAAGGAAAATTGACAACAAAAAACGAGATTTTCAGTGGGAAAAGCCCTGAGATTTGCTGGATCATCTGCTGATTGTTGTCTGGCTTAAAGCGGGTTGTTTGTTTATAGCTATAATAACTGGTGCTTTCAGGGTTGGGGAGGGGGCCTCTTCTGGGCGTTCAAGGCTCTTTAATGTCCGCAAGAAACAAACATCAGATGAGTGGTTCCAAAAGTGGGCCGTATCGCCATGTCAATGGAATACGTTGGAACAGTGGGGTACGGGTAACAGAAGTTGGATGTGATGGTTTGGGGGGGGGGGCTGAGGTGCTGGAGAATTTTGTAATTTGTTGGATTTATTTTGGGCCGATAAGAATGCAGTTTCAAATAATTGCTGACAAATGGACTGACCTGGCCGGAGTGACGTTTCAGCTGCTGATCAAAGACTGCAACATGAAAGAGTAGCAAGTGTTGGCGGTGGTGTAATATACCACAGAGTGTTGATGTTAGTGGCGCCACTGGGAGCTGGGGTGGGCTGGGGCTCTGCTCCATTTAAAACAGATTAAAGGTTATTTCATATTCTCACTCGACTACATTTTAAACACAGGAATTCAAGCAGAGAGGACATGACACAAAATAGAGGACAATCAACGGATTTTTTTATATTTTTTTTTTTTAAAGAAACATTTCATTGAAATGACTGACATGTCTTCTTATAAAACAAATTATATTTGACCCATATTTTTTGCTTTACCCACAGAGAGAGCTGCCTGGCTGTCGTGACTCTGTTCTGCTTCCAGGAACTGGCTGAAGGGTATGCCAAAAATCTACCCAGCACAGAACACTGTTATACGTTGCCAAGTAAATGGGACGTACCCAGCACGTGTACAGATTCGGACCATCACGAGTTTTCTCCCGCGAAAGTGCGAGGTGAGAAGATGTCATTATCAAAACTGTTTTTTATGTTTTAGTGTTCTTCTATATCTTAAGGGACCACGATCAACGAATTAAAGTTCTTTCTCAGTCCAATGAGGTTCTCTCTTAGTTCAATGAGTGTCTCTCTTATACCAATGAGGTTCTTTCTCAGTCCAATGAGGTTCTCTCTTATACCAATGAGGTTCTCTCTTATACCAATGAGGTTCTCTCTTATATCAATGAGGTTTTCTCTTATACCAATGAGGTTTTCTCTTATACCAATGAGGTTCTCTCTTATACCAATGATGTTCTCTCTTATACCAATGAGGTTTTCTCTTATACCAATGAGGTTCTCTCTTATACCAATGAGGTTCTTTCTTATACCAATGAGGTTCTCTCTTATACCAATGAGGTTCTCTCTTATACCAATGAGGTTCTCTCTTATACCAATGATGTTCTCTCTTATACCAATGAGGTTTTCTCTTATACCAATGAGGTTCTCTCTTATACCAATGAGGTTCTTTCTTATACCAATGAGGTTCTCTCTTATACCAATGAGGTTCTCTCTTATACCAATGAGGTTCTTTCTCAGTCCAGTGAGGTTCTTTGTTATAGAGTAATTTTGTTAACATAAAAATATATTTTTCCTTTGTTGTTTGCAGATTTCCACACTCTGTTTACAGATGGCCCACGGTGCTTTGTTATTTCTTGTAGTTTCCAAGCAGCCATTGTTATTGTTTACTATTGTGGCTAGAGACCAGGAATTCAACACCTAGTTTATTTGTTTTCTATACACCTCATCTAAACGTTAAATATTGATTGAAGTCAGTCGCAACATTTCAGTTTAATGGTGGACCTGAAGGAAAACTGCCCTGATGTTCAAATTTCAATAAGCGTACATCTCTTTATTGGGCACTGATCACTTTATTGGGCACTGATCTCTTTATTGGGCACTTATCTCTTTATTGGGCACTGCTCACTTTATTGGGCATTGATCACTTTTTTTGGGCACTGATCACTTTATTTGGGCACTGATCACTTTATTGGGCACTGATCACTTTATTGGGCACTGATCACTTTCTTGGGCACTGATCACTTTCTTGGGCACTGATCACTTTATTGGGCACTGATCACTTTATTGGGCACTGATCTCTTTATTGGGCACTGATCACTTTATTGGGCAATGATCACTTTATTGGGCACTGATCTCTTTATTGGGCACTGATCACTTTATTGGGCACTGATCACTTT